AATAAATAAAATTAATCGGACAAATTCATTTACATTTCGATGATTTTTTAAAGGGAATTCGTAAGGAATTATCTTTACAATAACTATGGCTGCAACCAAAAATAAAATATATAGTTTTTGAGTTATTCGTGATCAAGTTTATTTTCTTCCATACTTTTACTTCCTCAAACTTCGAGGAGGTGTGGTAAAAAAAATAAAATAAAAAAGGGATGTGAGTTACCAAAAGGATGAAAGTAACTGAACTAAATCACAATTAATGAAAATGTTTGTTTTAGTTTGAAATAATCTGGCATTATTTTTTTTATAATTGGTAAACTGTCGACTGTCGTGGATAATGAAGAGAAGAATAGTTGGGGTGGTCAGTCAAAAAAGAAGGCAAAAATAAATGATAATATTTATTTTTACAAATGCCGACGTTTCGACCAGAAGTTCAGACCATCATCAGGGCTAAGAAAAGAACCAGATAACAAGGTATGAGAAACATAAAAACGTCGACATATGTAAAAATAAATATTATCATTTATTTTTGCCTTCTTTTTTGACTGACCACCCCAACTATTCTCCTCTTCATTATTTTTTTAAATAACCGACATATAAAACTTCAATTTATTTAATTATTAAAATTCATATGTTTTTAATTTATCAACCGAATTGAAGATGTTTTATAAACTATCATTTCAACACGAAAACTAAATACTTTTCAAATATGGAAATAATTATAGACTGAAAAGGTAATTATATAATAATTAATATGTACATTCGATAGGCAAACATTATTAATTCATCACCCATCAATATAAAATAACTCCTTGAAGTATCGATACTTTACAAGGTTGTGATTTTTTTTTTTCCTTTTACAATAAGACTCTGGAATAAGTGAAGGATAAATTATTTATAATGCCCATACACATATAAATGTATTAGTTATTTGATACATTATAAATAAATAATTAGATCCATGAGATTCAAGGACTTTATGGTAAGGTATCCTTTTAAAGAGCTGGAAGGATATTAGAAAAAGGCACCTTTCCGTCATATAGAATTTTCCTCCGCTATAGATTTTCTTCAGGATCCCCGATAGAGCTCCTACAATTACAACCGCCGGCGACTGCTTAATTGTTTCGCCCTTAGGCGCGGCCCGGGGCACTGACGGCTGTCAATCACCATACGTCGAAGAGAAAAAAGTTAAAGCGACTGTCGGACCACGTGGCTGACGCTTATGGTACCCAGGCCCGGCACACCGGAGGGGCCTTGTACCCCAGTCACTGACCCGAGGCAACACCTAACTGCCCTTATCAGTACCCAAGTACATGGAGCAGGTGCTAAAAGAAATGTCTTGTCTGACCGCACGTACTGACAGCCCAGTCGCCATAAGTTACCTTGACAGCAACTCACACACCAACCACTTGTTACATCAGAATTTGTACTTAAGCGGAATAAAAAAAAAAACTGAATGAAATGAAATTTAAAAAATATTTATATAGTGCCATTTTTATAACAGCAATAACTTTTGAAAAATCACAACACTTTAAAGCTTATAAAACATATATGTTAATAAATCTTTTATCCCTTCCTATAAGTACTATAACTCACCCAAAGAATTTCGTTTTAATTTTTCTTCAGATAATTTCATTTTTGATTTATTGAAGGAAGTTAAGGAAGAAAGAACTGTTTTATCATGGATGATAAAAAGTCAGTTTTTAAGAATTTTATTATAAGTTTTTATTAAGTACTTCTGGAGTACTTGAACACCTTCAGTACTGGAAATATGCCCTGATGATGACCCACAAGCTTGTGTTGAAACGTTGGCTACAATAAAAATCTTAATAACTGTCTGGGCCTTGACTGTTCATCACCCATTATTTTTGTTTTAAATTATTTAAAATTACTTTACATAAAATCTATTAATAGTTCTATAAGAATATTGGTTGATTGGACTCGGAGAACCTCAAAAAGTATATTACTACAGACATTTCATATTTGAAATTTTTAAAAACCTTAATATATTTTATAAACAGTAACACTTATTTCAAAAACTGTTCTTATCAAAATGCATTGTGACGTTACACGAAGTAAAGGAATTTTCACGGGAAATAGTAGCGAGGATAGAATACCACCAATCACCTGTAGTCATAGTTTTGAAGGAAATAAGAAAAAAAAAAAAACAGCACCATGGAGCCAAAGAAAGAAACTGGGAAAAGAGAAAAAAAATAAAACAATTTAACTGCTTAATGGTGCGATTGATTTAAGAATTTCGAATCAACTGGCAAAGAAATGTCCGAAGATCTTAACAGTAGAAATTTTGTAAAATAAAATAAAATGTTTACTGGGTGATACAGTACCTATGATCGCGACTGTATATAGGTAAGTGAAAGTAAAAATACTACCGAAAAAATGCCCTACATATACTATTAAAACAGATTTATGATTCGACCTAATCAAGCCAGTAAAAGAGTAAAAAAAATATGGATCACTAAAAAAAGATGGCAGTGGAGCGATAGAGCCGTGATCCCTAGATACCTGAGAGCTTATATTATTATAGCGGCTAAGTATTATTAATTGCTAGATTGCTACAGTCGAGGGAGAGAGAGAGAGAGAGAGGACTCTAATCCCAGCTGATATATTTCCAGAGGCAGGACTCATTCCCTGAGTCAGTGGATCCGAAATAGTTACGGGCTACGGCTCTGCGGGCGGGGCCGATTTAGCCTCTTCGTAAACATTTACAGTGCCCTCACACAACTTCTGACTTATTTCCACCAGGGTTTTAATTGTTTCAACAGGAAGTATACCACGACCGCAGCCATCACCGAAATACCAACATCTACACACGGTACCTTCATTAGAGGAGAAGGAAGAGCTATTAAGTATGCAAGCTATAATATTGACAAAAGAGTAATACAAAATAAAAAGATTTGTATACAAAAATAAACTTTATTCTGGAGAACAGTCCGCTCAGAATAACAATAATGAACAAAAAAAAAAAAAAAAAACACATATCCAAAGACTTAACAAAAATTCAAACAATATAGACAGTAATATAAATAATAATATGTAGAGAAAAAAAAAAGGCTTCTCAGTAATATTTGTAGTTTAAGCACCCACCACACAACTTTCACTTACCAACCTCTTAGCAGAAATAAATATTTTCAGGTAAAGGGTTAGTGAAAATAAAAATTACATACGCTATATTGATCTACAATTCATTGTGGATATTTTTATTTTTATAGGTCTCCTTATATATATATATATATATATACAAATTTTAATATTAACATCGCTGTAATCTATACAATTAAATATTTAATAATACCATCAATAGCATCTATGATAACCGCATATATACATATGCGTAATATTGTCGTAATCCTTATTACCTTTCGGGCGAGCTCGGTTGCGCTCGTATTCCTTTGGTTCCTCAATTAACTATTCCCTATTACAATCTCTTATTTCTCATTTAATTAATTATCAAATTCTTTCATATTTAATATTGAACTATCTTTCATATTAGAGATAAATGTGAAATGGTCAATCGTTTCAAATTCAAGGCATTTTAGAGTATGATTGAAAATTAGCCATTTAAGCCCTAAATTAGAGAACATCAAAATGTACATATATAAATACAAAGAAAGAAAGTTGATGAAGTAAAAGTAAGATCGCTGGTAAATTTTCTCAAACTTAATGATTTGCTAAACAAAATCTAATAATGAGTTGTTTTTTATATATTTTTTTCCTCTAAAAAAAATCAGTATTGAGGTAATTAAAACCAAGATTAGATAGGCTTTGATGACCTCGGAGTATACTGCCCCTAAGCAACAACAACACAGAAAGAAAAAACAAAACGTGAAAAAAATAAAAGTAAGAAAAGAAAAAGCATCGATGATATATATATATATATATTATATTATATATATTATATATATATATATATATATATATATATATAATATAATTATATATACAATATATATATATATATATATAATATATATATATATATATATATAATAATATATATATATGACGTTTATGCTTGGTTAATTCATTTTGTGTACTACCGATTATCTTCAAAAATTAAACTGATTTTATAAAGAGCAGTAATCCTCCCTATAACCACATATTCTGCTTCAGTATGGAGTTATACTTGTAAATCTAACTACAGAAGTACAAATTATGTTAATTACATAGATTATATAGAACAGAGAAAAATCAACATACTTTATTATTTTTAAAGTATGAGTAATTAACAATACAGGGATTTAAACAGGGATAAGTAAAGAAAAACAATTATATAAACCATGATCCGATTTTCTTCATAAAAGTTTTTCCCAAGTTTTTTATTATTTTAAGTAAGCCAAACATTTTGTTTAATAGGAAGCAATAATTGAAAAAAATGTTTTTGTTATAAACAGAGTTCGTCTTTTTTTTAAAACCATTTAAAAAGGAATTTTAAATCAGACTGTTTCTGTTCCTCATAAAATCGTGGATTATTCGAGATTTTTTTTGTTTTTCATCCTCCAACTAGACTAGAGATGCACCACATTTAGAAAAAACTTCTTTGTTTAATAGAAGTTTTAATTCTATGTTAATTAATTTGAGATTTACAAAAGAATATGCAAAAAAAAAAACTGGTGTATCCATTTATCCGACTTTTCTACCGATTTTAGACCTATTTATAAAACATTAAAAGTGAATTAAAAAATTAATCTAATTTCTTTTTTTTTTTTTCGAAAAATCGGACACAGAAATTTTTAGAAAGCTGTTTATTTTACGAACTAATGAATTGAATAAAAATGTATAAAATGCAATACACTTTGCTAAAACTAGTTCGATTAAGGCTTTTTTAAAATATTTTTGTCGGAAATTTACCAAGTAGCGGAAGAAAAAAAAAAATGGTAAGGATCAAAATAAAATAAAGGAAGTATTGCCTTCCGATAAGTATAAGACATGATGGCAGTTTAACAATAGCTATATGGGTGGTTACAAAAGACAAAAGAGGCGAAATGGTCTGCAGATTCTTTAAACAAATATCGTCTAGAGGGAAGAGAAGCCACAATATAGACGGATTAAAGTACACAGCTATCAATCCAATAGCAGATGTTTCTCCTTGCCTCAACAACGGGGCCCAGCCCGCAACCGCCTCTTCCGATTTTAATGCTTTCCCCTCCGGTTGGCAAACAGCTCTTACCAAAACAAAAGAGGAATATTTCAAGAGAGCCAACTGGATTAACGACCCAGAAGTTAAGGCTGCAGCAAGGGGTTAAGTTAAGGAACCTCCTCTCCCACAAGCCGAGCTATATTTTATATAAATTAGACCAATCCAAAATTAAGTGACAGGCCAACAGAGACGAGATCCCTTCAGTATTGGCCTCATGCCTTCAGTTCTATTTCCACTCCTCGCTCCCATCTCTTCTACTTCAGAGGCAAGCTATAGGTAAATGGACCAGCTTCGTAATTACTGACACCCATGGTTGAATTAAAGATATATATATATATATATATATATATATATATATATATATATATATATACATACATATATATATATACATATATATATGTATGTATATATATATATCTTAATTCTAAAAATCAACCCATGCTTATTTTATTTTATTTTTATTTTCATTTAAATAATGTTGTTTTTTTTTATTTCGTTTTTTCTCAAAATTTTATTTTATTTTTACTTGTATTAATTTAATTTCACTGAAGATATTGTATATATTCTTTAATATTGATTAATGTAATTTTTGGCCAGATGTAGCTTTAATTTTTTTTGTTCATATCTGTTATTCATAAGGGACCTCGTCCCAGAATAAAGTTTACTTTCTATCTATCTATCTATCTATCTACATACACAAATAAATCGCCATCTCTATTCTCACCTTAATTTTAAGAAAAACAAGTTTCATGATTCGATGAGCTAATTAGCATTTCGACAATATTTTTCTGTTCACTCAGATTTCCCTTTCTCACTCAGAACGAACTTACAAATGTCTTTCACCTAAACATATTTTAAAATAATACGTAATATTATATACAACTACTAGTTTCATATCTATTTTACTTATATTATTTAAAACATAAATTATAGTGTGCTCAGATTAGGCTTTGATTGATAAAAATTGTTTCCCTTTTTATCCCTTCCCAACCTTGGAATTTCCCTAAAAAGGAAACTTTTTTAACTAAATTGGAAACCTTGGAGCTAATACATTTCTTTCTTTTATCCTTTTTTTTTTTTTTTTTTTGTTTTTTCAAGATAGTAATTTAAATTTTTAGGATGGTGTAATAAAAAATACATAAACTCTGATTTTAATAAAAATGAGATTAATAAGGTTTTAGAAAATATTGTAATAATAACAAACATTTTGAACCACTAACAATTTTATTCATACAAAAATTTCGCAATTGTCAATTAAATGTTGAAGCGTTAAGAAATTTACGAGTAGATTCTTTAACGAAAATAAAACCAGTATGTATAAAGAATCCATTTAAGCCCCTTGTATAGAAAAGCAATAGCGATAAATAGAATAATATAATAGGATGCCTAGGACCGAAGATGGGGGGATACTCTCGAGTACAGAGTGTCGAGTACACAAATACTCGACAAAATACAAGTACACAAACACAAACCCTTTCAGAATACCGAAAAATTTTAACAACTGAAGTAGTAGTTAAATTTGTATAAAATACTTTGTACTCGGAGATGTTTTTGCAGAACACTGCGACAGGATTGGTAGGCTTGTAGCAAAGGTTTGACCGACTAGTTGTCTTCAAACTGCGTACCACAAGCGCAATAATATTTAGTTTCAAGAATTATTATTTAAAGTAAAAATTATCAATAAGGATAGTAGACATTCCAAAAAAATAAATACACTAAATGTGTTGAGATAAATTTGGAATTTAACTAAAAACAGAAATAAAATTAAAATCCACCCAATTCAACATTATATCTGGAGAGAATTTAGTTTAGTTTTGTATAGATTGCACAACAAAAGGTTGGATACCATATTATACCCTTTAATAAATATGCTATGATTTATTTTATTTTATTTTAGATCTAGAGAGCCGTACACAGAAATAGTTTGAAAACACAAGATAATGTTCAAAATTATTATTTTCGCATCGTTGCATTAACATTCCACTTCTAAATCGAAACCAATAACATCAAACTTCGGTCTCCAATATTCCTAAGCCTGGTAGTGATACAGACATACATGAATAATATTGTATGTAAAAAATTTTAAATTTGTTTTAGTTAGAAAAAAAAGATAGGTACATGTTTGAGAGAGAGGGAGGGGGGAGGGAGATATTTACAACGTTAAGGATTTTTAAGAAGTATAACTATCTTATTAAGATATCCACAATAAATAGAAATAAACCTGATTGAATACAAAATGCTGATCGAATTATCAAACATCAGTAAATCAGCTGATGAGAAGTTAGCCGTATAGCGACAACCGTGGGAGCCGAAGGGAATACATACCGTGTTCGCATGTCACAACTACATAACGCTATACCCATCCCACATCTCAACCCGCACAACCAACCCTCAACCTTCTCAACCCGATCCCTGCTTTGCCGTACGTGTACCTTTGTGGACACATGTACGAAGGAGGATTGAAAGGGATTTTTGCCACGCGATGTGTCGTTTAGAGTTCCACTTACCCTCAGCCCGGTGGCTTTACATAAAAAATTATAATGTGACATAGATAAGGTCGGTAACAAGGCATAACCCTTGGTCAAGACCCTACTTCCAAATATACACACCATAATTCAAAACTTAACAACCCTAGCCTACTCCGTTTCTTGTCATATTTCCTCCTACATATTTTTAGTTTCTCAGAAATAACAGAACTTACCGACAAGAAGATTAGAATAGTTCATAGTCCATTAGATCACTTTTTATCAAATTATTAACGATTAGTCTAAAACTTCGTGAATGTCTTTATCTTATCCTAGCTTCAAAATTTTTACTAATAAAAATTCTACTAAATAGGACGTTTTCAATCTACAAATCGATAAACTTTGTCTATTTAATCAGGTACGATTAAAACCTTATGAACACCCATTTGCTTTACACATAAACGTAAGTTAATTTAATTAAAATATCGAGAAAAAGAGTGATCAACAAAAATGTTGGATCGTTTGGAGTGACCATCACTGCCAACGACATGTGTGACATACATAATTAGTATTAAAAGTAAAAATGTTATATAGGCTATATGGGCCTATGGGGGAGTGGAAAGCAAATGGACATTCAAGAGGTTTTAGTATTTCATTAAATTAATAAATTTATGGAATATTGAATAGTTGACCGTTGCATTATAAAGGAAGGAGATAGTCCGGGGTGGCGGACATAAATAGGCTAAATAGTGGTAAAACTATTTTATCAAAAGCCAACGTTTCAACCCGACTTTGCAAGTCTTCTTCAGGGAGATGTGTTCAGTTTCAGGTGAAACCGAGGCAGTTCTAACTCTCACTAGGTAGTTCTAAATGAAACTCCTAGCTGAACACATCTCCATAAAATAGTTTTGCCACAATTTAGCCTATTTATGACCGCCATCCCGGATCATCTGCTTCCTTTATTAATTAATTTAATAAGGAAACGCCTTATTTTTTAAATTTTCATTTAGAATTTTTCAAATTTTCATTTTTTAAATTTTTTTGTATATGAAAAAGTAGTAGGTTACGATAAGATGAATGCTATTCAAGTTTTAGACACCTGTTAATAATTCACAAAAAGAGGACTGCGGATTAGTACATCTTAAAGCATAACACATCTCATAGCCACCTTAATCGACACTTAAAAAATTAATTTGTGTACTACCTAACATAGAGATGTTCTAAATTAAACAAGAAAAAATAAAACAATAACGATTTAGCGTTACTGAAAAACAAACAAAAAAACAACCCTCTGTTACTAGCGAAGCCGTCATTAACTGAAGCTCCAGATAGATTGATTGGATCTGTCAACTCATCAAACAGAAGCACTTCCCATTTAGATTACTTTTAACACAACCCGTTCAAAGAAAGTAGCCAATACAAATAACAAACGGACAATGGGAATATAGAACCTCTCTTCGCTAAATATAATTAATGGCTTTATATACGTATCACCATTAATTTTTCAAACTGATGTTTTCATTTATTGTTTTGAATATTGAATCATTTATTTATTGAAAACTAGGGGAGGGGGGTACCACCAGTCGACCTAACTGCGGACCAATTTCCATTTTACTAATTATACAACTGTTCTATTTAATTGTACTAGTCGTTGCTCAAATTGTATAAGTCTAATTTACATGTATTCTGTAGTTCGGATTGTATTATTTTTTTATAAACGAAACAAAACTTATCGGACAAACACAGGTCGGAGAAATTTTTAATTTCCTCAAAAATCTATATCATACATAGTGCCTTATTTCCAATTTGTAACGATAACAAGGAATTTTATATTTTTAATAATACGTGTGGTGTCTTCGTTACGATCCTAAAAACTTGTTTAAAGAATAGAGAGAAAGTAATTACGCTAGTTTTAGAATCTTGATTTTACTGGATTATCAGAGCCATTTTCCCTAATATTAGAATCAAATCACTCCATTACTTCAAATTATTTTTAACAAACCACAAATACAATTTTAAGAACAGGAATGATTACTTTGTAAGTCCAATTCACTTCTTTTATAATCATTTAATGCTAATGTATATTTATTTTATTTTTAATATTCGAAGAGTGTGGCGTTATGTTGAAAAAGAATTTCATTTTTTTTTAATAGACATAAAATAATATATTATATGAAAATAAAAACAATTAACAGTGCCATAAATATTGGTTCAATGAATTTAAATTGCAGAACTTTGTAATTTTATCAAAACCAATTAGCAGTGTAAAGACAGAAACTAAAAAAAACATGTAATTCCGTTAGGAGCCATCTAAATAAAACATAAAATTTATTTTTATTTCAATGAAACTTAAGTCAGGGATTCAAACGGGGGAAAAAAATCTTTTATTTTTAAAATGTTTCGGTGTCGAGCATTTTTCCTTATACCTTTCGCAGATAATAGGACTTTATAAAAAAGTTTCTAAGCCCGGTTTAAATACATCACTGAATCCAGATAAATATAAACATAATTTTTATGATATAAACAGCAACATTTTTTAATTTTAAAAGAACGAGATAAGTTATTTGTAATATGATAACGTAAATTGAAATAAAGAATATCCCTAAATCGTAAAGGATTCATTCATAAATACTGAATC